TCTAGGTCAGTGTTGCTCAACCCTGGTCCTGAGCGCCCCCCAACACTGCACATTTTGTATGTCTCCCTTATCTGACAACCATTTCAGGTCCTGGAGTTTCTTTTAATGAGCTAATGAGTTGAATCAGGTGTGTTTGATTAGGGAGACACGCAAAATGTGCAGTGCTGGGGGGTGCCCAGGACAAGGGTTGAGAAGCACTGGCATAGATGATAGTTTTTACTTTTAAGTTACTGTTAACTAGAAGTTAAAATGTGCAGTCACTATGTTGGGCAGTTGTTGTTGTTTTTTTTGCTGGCTGTGTATTTCGTTTGAGTGTGACATTGGCTCCACTCTTTAATGATAAGGAGAATTTGATTGACAGCTCCATGCACTCAAAAATGTAGGTCTAGCTGTAAGATTTCAGTATTTGAATTGCACATACAATTTCCATCCATTTTGATTACACATTTTTTAAATAAACTAATAAACTAATATGATGCATATTTGTCAGTCATACATGAATAAAACAGGTAAGATTCTGCACCTGTGTGATTTTAGTTTCTTTGAGATACTATTGTAGTTTTCATAATATATTGAATCCTTTTTTATTTACATAATTTAAATGTTCATTTTAATTTTACTTGAAGTTTTACTAATTTTGTTGTGTGTTTTTGTCATTTTTAATATTTCATATTTTACTATTTATAAGTCTATATAGTTTTTTATAAATTTTTATTTCAATTTTAGTTTTAAACCTAAAGTTAAAATAATCTGAATTAAAATTTGAAAATTTGCCTTGGCAACTAGCTTTTTTTATGCAACTAGCACCCCAAACCCCCAGTGTTTCATTCACTGTTTATTTTATTTCAAGTAACAAAAATGTTTTTTTTTTTATGGTTTTAATTTTTGTTTCAGTTTTTGTTAACTATAATAACACTGTTCTGTACGCAAAAATATTTTTTCATAATTTATTAACTATTTGCATCTATTTAATATATAACTTTTAATATTTAAATAATGTTTTAAAAATGTATTTATTCAAATGGCTCAGCATAAATCTGTTCATTCTGAAAACACATTTATTCAGTTAAAAAAGTACGAATAAGCAATATTCAATTAGTTAAAATATAGACTGAAACAAATTATTATTGATTGATTGATTGATTGATTGCTGAAACCGAATAATTGTACTGTACTTAAAATGCATTCAGTTTATTAGTACTATTACAGAAATCTGTAGCCTGTTCCGTTTATGTATAACAAATATGTATCACATTACTTTTATTAGTTTGTTTGTGTAATGCAAATGGATGGAAAATGTGCAAGCAATTCAAATGCATGCATCTTCAGTTTAGGCCTAAATATTTTTAATTGTGTGGGATATTTTACCTCCACCTGTTTTAATAATAACTGAAAGTGCAATATTCAGTATGCGAGTGTTCATTACCTTCAGTACCTGTAGAGCACTGAAATATGTTTGGAGTGACTGTATAATCAACGATTCTGGATGATATTGGTGAATTTGTCCTATATAAATTGCTGTATTTGTTACATTTTTTTCATGTTTTTTTATGTTCAGTTGTTGTTTGTTGCGCATATCTGTGTGTGTATATAATATCATGCATTTTATATAAATTAGAGGTAATTCTGAATATTTCAATAAGCAAAATGTACAGTATTTCTCAACCAACTTTAGGCATGGATGTTTGTTGCATCCTGTCTTTATCCATTCCCAGCATTCCTTGGGAAACTGTATAGTGTAACTGTAAAGCTACAAAGTAGATAAAATATTAGTGGTCCAGAAAACCTTCAGAGAGCTTCTAGCACAAATCTATGCAGGGTAAATGTTTATCTGTACGTCACAGCTGTCATCGTCTGACAAATTATTATTAATAACATTATTTATTGTTACAGTTACTTCAAGTGTTGTTTTGTTACAGTCACTTCAGCTTTGTGAATAGAAGATAATTAGCTGTGTATTGGCTTTGTGTTTAATTAAAGGGGTCATATGATGCCATTTCAAGTTTTCCTTTCTCTTTGGAGTGTTACAAGCTGTTTGTGAATAGATAAGATCCCTAAAGTTGCAAAGACTTAAGTCTCAAACCCAAAGAGATATTCTTTATGAAAGTTAAGACTCGTCCACGTCCTCCTAAAACGCCTCGTTTAAACACGCCCCCACATGTCTACGTCACTGTGTGGGAAGATTTGCATAACACCGCCCAAATGTTCACGCAAAGAATGAAGGCGTAACTTTGATTCTCACTGTAGTATTGTTGCCACCGCCGTCATGTTGTGGAGACGCTGTGTGTTTCGCTATGAAAGCTAAACTACTTTGTTTGGCCTTCCAAAAGAGGACACGACTAGAAATCAGTGGTTAAGTTGTATTTACAATACTGTTCCAGAACACTTCAACCCAAATATCCAGATGTGAGCAACGCATTTTACGGAGGACGAGGACTGTTTCCTGGAAGAGTAGACTACAATGCCGGCTGTTCTGACTCACAGACTGTAAGTACGTTTTCATATTTAAAGAATTTGCCACTGATGATTCAAACGTGAGTTTTGAGCAGTGTAGAGTAGCACTTGTTGTTTGTCGTTTCTCCAGTCACAAATGGTTTTATGTTTACGTGGCACGATGCAACGCAATGTGTAAAAAGACAGTATAAGTCATTATAATCAGTAATTATGTCCCCACTGGATGCTACAAATGCCTC